ATAAAGAATTTTTTCTTTTTTAAATGGCAAGTTAATGGGGTTTTTAGAGTTCAGGTAATCAGATCCAGTGTCTTCATATCTATATGTAAGCAAACTAAGGTTTTGAAAGTTTTAAGTCAATGGTTATCATCTTGCTTGTCTGAATCCACTTATGGGTTTTGAAATCACTTTTTTAAAAAAAGATTTATTTATTTATGTATATAAGAACTGGGGTACAGGCCAGAAGCGTGGGGTGGAGGGAGGTAAGAAGATTCACCAGAGACAGAGTGGGAAACAGAACAGGTAGATTGATTAAAATATACTGCTGAGGGGAGCAGCGGGTAAGTCAGGAGAGGTCTGCTGTGCCATGTGGGTAGCTCCCTGGCCAGGGATCGAACTTGTGCTTCAGTGGCTACTGACAGCTTCATAGTGCTGAGATTTAACCCCTTGCACAACCAGGGAGGTCCCCTGAAATCACCTTAACTGATCACAACTAGGACTTTAAAACACATACCATAGAATTTAAAACAGTAGAACTTACTGCAAGTACTAAGAATTCGTAAATGGGGTTTTTTGGTTTCAGATAGAGTAATACGCAGAATCACACATATATGTGTATTGGGCCAAGATGTAAAATGTATTTCTTACTGGAGGCTTTGGTAAGAAAACTGAGATACACTGGGTCAAGCTGTTCAACAAGGGAATTAGCTTCCTCACAAAGTAACAAGCTCTATGTTGCTGTTAGTGCAAAACAGAATGTCACCGATTTAGGTTGAGGGCAATTAGGTGTGGTGGGTCTAGATGATCTCTGAGGACTATTTAAATTTCTATACTTTTATTGTAGTTAAGTGTTATACTATATATATATCCATGTTTTTTACAAGAGGATCCTGAAATAAATCAAGTTATAAGATGCCAGGATAAGAGCTCGTTATGTTTCTTTAGTCTCTCAAAATGATAGAAACTATTGGTTCCAACTCTACTATTTTAGTTTACTGTTGAAGATGTGTACTTCTGCTAGTTAGCCTTTTCTGGTTGAAGAGAGATTACTCTGAGAAATAAATCCTTTCTCTTAAAGAACTATAGGTCAAAGGCCTGGTTGGGGTAGGGAATTTGTGAAAAAAGCAAACAGAACAAGAATTTCATTCTGCTTTTGGATAATTCTGTTGAAAACGGGCACTTTACCTCATTTCCTTAGACATCTGTGTTACATTTCCACTCAGCTCAGTCTTAAAGTGCCCAAGGAGTTTCATGGTTGCATTACAGCTTTTAAAATAAAAATTCTAACATATCAATCATATCAAAGAAGTAGTGAAGATGCTGGCACTGTGATGGAGTCGGTATGGCAAAATCCCTTCTTAGAAGCTTTCAGGAGGAATCAATCTGGTGGCACTGTTTTCTAGGGAGTGGAACCCTACTTAAAGCAAGCAAGTCCTTTGTGGCCCCAGGCTAAAAAGGTCACAGATGAAGGCACCAAGATGGCATGACAGGAGGCTCTGGCTTCCCTCCTGCACCAAAAATACAGCTACACACTGATCAGCTCCCTCTAAGAGGCATCCAGAAACTAGCTGCAGGACTCCCACATATTGAATGTCACAGGATGTGTAGACAAAGCTGAGACACACACTTGCCATAGACCCCAGCCCAGGCATAGCACCTTACAATTGGGAGGGAACTCCCAACTCCCAGCTGGGACATTTAATGGTAGCACTATTTTTCTGGAATCCAAGGCAAAAAACCACAAACAAAAAAGGATTTACATAGTGCTCACATCATCTGCCCAGTCGAAATGGAGCATTTTTCTGGCACAAACTTTTAGGGGAATTTGCCATGTGAATTCTTCTATGGGGACATTAAGTGTCGTGCTAGAGAATTTTTGGACGAATATAACAATTGGTCTTCCTAATTGGTCTCTGCCTTTTGTCCCCCTGAAGCATGTTGTATCTCTGGATTTTGCTGTATAATATTCTCTAATAGCTCCTTCTTGCCTACTGGATAAAGTCCCTATTTCTTTTTTTTTTTTTTTAAGATTTATTTATTTATGCATACAAGAGCTGGTACAGGCCAGAGATGTGGGGGTGAGAGGATTCACCAGAGACAGAGTGGGGAACAGAACAGGCAGACTGACTGAAATACACTGCTGAGGGGAGCAGCGGGTGAGTCAGGAGAGGACTGCTGCACCATGTGTGTTGCTCCCTGGCCGGCCGGGGATTGAACTCGTGCTGCAGAGGCTGTGGATTGCTTCATAGGTTGCGTCTTAACCCCTTGCACCACTAGGGAATTCCTAAAACCCCTATTTCTATGAATGGATTTAATACACTGGGGACCCAGTTTCTGCCCATCTCTCCTTGCATATCTCCTACCACCTGCCTCTCCTCCCACTCTTAAATTACATGGCACTTCCTGGCACACTGTGCCCTTCATGCTGCCAAGCTTTTATATGTATTATTCCTGTGCTACAATCAAACCACCTTCTCAATCTGAGAAACTCTTTCTCCTTCTTCAGAGTCAGTTCAAACAGAGCCTCCCTTGGGAAGTGTTCCTCAGCTTTCCTGGTCCGACGTTAATTGTTGTTTCCTATTTCCTCTACACCCACTGTACACTATAAATAATATACTTCATGACAACTGTTGGACTGCATTCTACTTGCCTGTTTGGATGTATGTTTCCCTTCTGTACTAAGATATCTGTATTAGCAGAGACTGAGTCCATGCATATACCCTAGGATGCATACAGTCCTAGATTGATGTTTGGGATGTGAGAGGCATTCAATAAACATCTTCACCAGTGTCCTTCCTGAACTAACAAAGGCTCTTTATATGACTTTTCTCCGGACCTAGGGACCATGGCGCAAGCCATTAGCCCTAAGGGTCACTGCAGGGGGAGGTGCAGCACTTTTCCTATATGTTGCCTCTAAAATCAAGGCCGTCCCATAAGTAATTCGATGAAAACATTTCAGTGGCAAATTAAGCTAACATGTTTTGAGTCCACAATTCTTTGGATTTTAACTTGAATGGGACTCAAGCTGATTAGCTGTCACTGCTCTTTGTGTCTCATGGGATACTATAAATGACTTTACTGTGACACCTATATACTTGTCAGCTCTTTGAAGGCACAACAGGGATTGCCAACTAAAGGTGGGTAGGATCTGGGAGACAGGATAGAAGGATGGGAGGAAGACTTTACGTGGTATACTTTTTGATATTTTGAGTTTTGAATTCTACGAATATATGAAACATTAAATTTTATTTTATTTCATTTCATTTTTGTGGGACGCTTGCCAGCAGCCGGGGAATGAACCGGCGCTGCGGAGGCTGCGGGCAGCCTTGCAGCCCAGCGTTCAACCACTGCGCCACCAGGGGAGGCCCCAAAACATTAAAAATTTTAAAGTTTGTCATACAAGTGGGCGAAATATTAACTATCAGTCTCACAATTTGCCAGACCTCAGTTGTAATTCATGATTATGAAATCATGGGAGCTCTCAGAATAATGATATTCAGTGTCTTCACTTAATCAGCCTTCACTTCACTTCAGCCCTGGTAGCCCTGGGCTGAAGTCTTAGCTCTATCACCCCTATAGCTTGAGTTTGATCCCCAGCCAGGGAGCTAACCCACATGGCACAGCAGACCTCTCTTGTCTCACCTGCTGCTCCCCTTAGCAATATATTTCAGTAGATTTGCCTGTTCTGCTCCTCACTCTATCTCTGGTGAATCCTCTCACCACCACCGCCCCCCACACCTCTGGCCTACACCCCAGTTCTTCTATGCAAAAATAAATATATAAATCTTTAAAAAAAAATTTCATGTGCTACTAAAGTGACAAGGTGACATCCATTTCGAAAAGTCAAGAGGTTGTATACTTGGGGAACAGAGAGAGAGAAAAAAACCAAGCTACTTCAGGGTGAACAAACTCTATTGTAACTGTCAATGTGGTTAATGCCCTGAATTTGGTGATGATAGCAAGGATGGAATGGAAGGAAAAGTTAAAAATAAACAAATGGGAAATAAATTCCTGGATCTTGATGGATGACTAGCTGTGAAAGGCTAGAGATATAAGGATAACAGGGATTTTTATAGCCTAAGTGTTTAAAGGCATTGCTGACAGATATTAGGAAGTCAGAAGGAAGAACTGGTTTAGAGGAAAAGCAATGACTCTGGTTTCAAGTTCAGTGTTGGAGGAGAATGGGGAATTATGTAGACATGGCCAGGGAGCCACTGGAAATGCTGGTTGGAGGTTCAGAGGGGAAGTCAGATTTAAAATTAGTGATGTGTTGATATCTACAAACAGAGAAGGGGCTCAGAGAAACACCGGATGAGAGAAGAACCTGGAGGATTGCCCACAACAGAGGAGCAAAAGCCAGTTTAACAGGCACAGGTATAGGGAGAACCAGAGAGCACTGGGGCATAAGAGCCAGGGTGGGCAGATTCAAGAAGCAGGGAAGCAGAGAAGTGAAAGGGCCACAGGCAGAAGTACAAGCAGCAATGAGCATTAAGTCATTGAAATCCTCACACACAACAACCAATCAGGTAGGCGGTACAATCCCCATTTTACTGAAAAGGTATTAACCCAAACAGTGACTGCAAAGCTTGCAGGATGCGCCAGCTGAGCAATACTCCTTTATCACTGTTGTGGGGAGAGCCGGGAGATCAGAGACTAGTTAGCAGTTCTTCCGCTAAATTAACTATATGTCCATGGATAAGTAACTTTACCTTTCGGGCCTAATTTCCTTCTCTGCAAATTGAGGAGCTTGGTCTAAATAATCTCCAGCTCTTATGGAATGTGAGTCATTGATGAAGGTGGAATGGAAGAGAGGCATCCACCAGAGAGGCAATGAATTAAAAATTTAGCAATAAGTGAACAGGGGTAGATCAGAAGTTTGAATGTTTTATACAGTGAATTTTTAAGCAACAAATCCATATTGAGGTAAAACCTGATGTAAAATAATGTCAAATCTACAACCGTAAAGCTCTACTTTTTAATATATGTATTTAAGATAATATCAAGAATTACAATTTTCATACTTGCAAATTTATGAATGCTGCTCTTGAAATTCTGCCAAGTCAGTTGAATGAAGTAAAAAGGGAAGATCCCAAGTCAAACACAATCTTTGTAAGCTTGTCCTGCAGCGAGAGAAAACAGTTATTCAAAATGTACTTTTATTTTTTTCAAGATGTACTTTTAATACATGACATGGGAACACTTATCAGGTATCATTTTCTAGCATGGAAAAATAGATAACCTGACAAAGATTATTTATTCATGAAAATCTGCTTGTTTATAACTTGGACCTTCATATTAAAGTATGCAAGAAAAGATTCCCAATATTTAAATATATTACAGCAAATTGAAAGCAAACATACTGTATTACTTTGAATAAAACAAACTTATTAAGATGACAACTATTCAAAGGCAGGCCAGAGATGAAATACCAAGCAACATTATATGACCTACTGCCTCTTCCTGCAAGTGACGTCAATATGATTTACAAGAAAACCAAACAGAATAACTTCCAAGAATCTTGAAAAATTCAACATCTTAAAAACTGTACGCTTAAGAGGGAAATAGCAAAATAAATAAATAAATACATACATACATATATATATATATATATATATATATATATATATATATATATATAGGGCCTCCCTGGTGGCGCAAGGGGTTAAGCACCGCACTATGAAGCAATCCGCAGCCTCTGCAGCACAAGTTCGATCCCCAGCCGGCCAGGGAGAAACCCACATGGCACAGCAGACCTCTCCTGTCTCACCCACTGCTCTCCTCAGCAGTGTATTTCAGTCAGTCTGCCTGTTCTGCTCCCCACTCTGTCTTTGGAGAATCCTTTCACTCCATCCCCTCCCAACCTTTGGCCTACACCCCTGTTCGTCCATGCAAAAATTTAAAAGAATAGAGAGGTTTATAAATATGGATTTTCTAATTTCAAAATGATTATTAGTGGTACAAATGATCAACATAAAAGTAAATCTAACGAAAGCATTAGGATTTTCAACTATACTTCTAGGAAACAAAAAAAACTACAGTGAGATACTATTTTACCCCTACAAATCTGCAAGATCAAGCATTGCTAAGTGATGAGGGACACCAGTCACCTCCTTTGTTTCTGGGGGGTTAGAGAGGGTACTTGATACCACCATTTAGAGATAACTTCCCATTTAGAGATCCACGGTGCCCTTTGACCTAGCACTTGTACACAAAGGAGTTTAGCCTACGGAAATATTCTGCCTTGGGTACAAAGATATTTGTATAAGGATAGTCAACCTCACTTTGTTTGTTGTTACAACAGACTGGAAAGATCTAAATTTCTACCAACAGGAAACAGGATAAATAAACTACAACACTAATAAAATACAGCAGCCATTAAAATCAATGAGTTCAATCTGTATGTCCCAACCTACAGCAGAGTCTCCACACTGTGTTGAGCAGAAGGATGGCCTGTAAAGCCACTAGATGCACCTGCACAGACTTCTCTGTTGATACTTAAGAAACTGGAAACCAGGCCTGGGAGGCCAGCAGTGAGAAGGACACTGGGTTTTCACCAGCCAATACCCTTTCATACTCGGGATTTGTTATCTGTATATCTAAAGACATTTCTGTTCAATTCTAAATTGTTGCCTGAACTTGCTATAATACAGAGCCCCAGCACTCATGAAACTGGGCAGTCTGAGTCCGAAGACAACACATTGTAGGCCAACATTAAGGCTTTGGGGAAGAAACACTGTAGTCTCTTAGGCATACTGGAAACACCTATGGGCAGAAGACTAGGCTGCCACGGACATGTCATTCATAAAGTGCAGCCTGTGCAAAGGCACTGTAGCCAGGGTGTAGGGTAAGGAAAAATGTCAGGCTCTTCTGCCCTCCCGCCATCAGGATAGATGATGGATCCTCGCGGTCCTGAATGCATGCCTGATGGCGGGCACCTGGAGTAGGGTGTGGTCATGGGTAGACAGGATTCACCTGGGCTGGGACTGGGCTTTTGGGGGCGGCGTCACAGGGACGCCAGCAGCAGCAGGAGAAGCCAAAGGAGAAGCAGCAGGAGAAGCCAAAAGAGAAGCCAAGAAAGAAGTAGCAAAAGCCGAGAGAGAAGCAGAGAACGCCGGAGAGCCTAGATAGAGTGAAGACTTGCTGGGGGCTGGGAGGCTGGCAGGCCTCCACTACAACTGGGGGAGTAAAACTACATACCTCCACATATACATGCTTCATTCACCTTCTACAAAGCTTCACTGGGGAATGTCTGACGCCTTCTTCCCTCTCCCTGCCTCCCGCCCTCCCCCAATCAATTTGATGGTTGTTAATTCTATCAATTAAGCTTTAATCCCAGCCTCCCAACCCCCCAGCACCCCTGCCTGCCATGTACCTGGTAATCCCAATAAAAGACCTGCAAAAAACCACTGAGGACTCTGACTCCTCCTTTGCCCGGTCTGCTGGATCGGAGAGCCTGCACTGTGCCCATTCCTGCCTCTACACAGGGGAACACCCATCACCCAACAGTTGGGTGCACAGGTGTGTTCTCCAGTGAAGACTCACCTCACCTTCAGTTTTGCTTATAAATATTCTTGTGATAAAAAAAAAAAAACTCCAAGTGGTAGCTCCTGGTGGGAAGAGGAAAGGCACCAATGGCTTGACCACCCATTCCCAGCACAAGGTACTTTTCTGTGTCAGAGGTGGGTAGGGTGGAACTCCATAGCATAAGGGCTGGATTGCCCAGAGGCACTCAGGAATGGGTAAGCCAGCGTGGACAAGATGGGAGGGCTCACGAGGAGAGGGCTCCCTTTCGGGTCCCCCCCACCCTCTGTGGAGGTCTCATGACGCCACTATGACAGAAGCAGCACTTCCTGTGCCCGGAGGGCCAATCTGAGCACTGAGCACCAACTCCCAAGTGAAGGCAACAAAATCTCTGCCCAGCAAACTGCGGTTTGGCATAGCCTCCTCCCCTCGCCTGCTGTCCACACGCCTCCACCCTAGGCCAGCCCATTCTGAAGCCAGGATACCGGGAGCAGTGGGCAGGGCCAGCAACCAGAGGGTCCAAGCAACCATTTACCACCCACCTCCTTAGGGCTGCCTCTGCTTCCATCCCAAATCTTTCATATATAGTTTAATACGTGGTTCTGGCTTAAGTTACTCCATTTGCACCAGAGTGTACTACAATTTGTAACAGCAGCATAATGAAACTATTCAACTTTTTTTGATTGACTGTGAAGTTTTGTTACTATAGAGAGTGCTGTTAATGTTTTCTGTTCATAGGCAGTGGGAAATGAATTTTTTCTCCCGTTTTATTAATTCACTAATTGTTTACATGACTATGTAACTGGGGGAGTAAAACTACACACCTCCACATATACATGCTTCATTCACCTTCTACAAAGCTTCACTGGGGAATGTCTGACGCCTTCTTCCCTCTCCCTGCCTCCCGCCCTCCCCAGAATCAATTTGATGGTTGTTAATTCTATCAATTAAGCTTTAATCCCACCAAAATAATTTTGATTGAATTAATACAATAATTTTTAATTTATTATAATAGTATTATATACTTATAGAAAATTTAGAAAATGCACAGGCAAGTATAAAGAAGAAAACAAACTGAAATCGTTGAAATGAGCATCCTGCAAACGCCACCAGAGAGAGCAGAACTGCTCAGATACACTTTAAACTAGTAAAATAAATACATCAAATACCCACTCAGGAGGAGGGCTGAATTCTGGTCACTTCAACTATTCAAAATACTGCCAACCTAGAGGTTTACCAAAAAATTTCTGAGCAGCAACCAATAGAGAAAATTGCTAAGAAGTCTGGAATATTCCACAAAATGCAATGTGATTCCTGTTTATTATTAGCAAAGGGTAATTTTTTAAAGTTCCTTAGTCTCTGTCACTGGGAAGAGTGGAATAAATAAAAAGAAAAGTAAATAAAGAGAACCAAGGGCCTCCCTGGTGGCACAAGGGGTTAAGACACAACCTATAAAGCAATCCGCAGCCACTGAAGCATAAGTTTGATACCCGGCCAGGGAGCAACCCATCTGGCACAGCAGACCTCTCCTGTCTCTCCTGCTGCTCCCCTCAGCAGTGTATTTCAGTCAATTTGCCTGTTCTGTTCCCCACTCTGTCTCTGGTGAAGCCTCTCACTCCCCACACCTCTGGCCTATGCCCCATTTCTTGTCTGCATAAATAAATAAATCTTTAAAAATAAATAAATAAGGGCCTCCCTGGTTGAGTGGTGGGCTGTGAGGCTGCCCGCGGTCTCTGCAGCGCCGGTTCGATCCCCAGCTGCTCCCCGGCCTCCGGAGGAGGGTCCCACATGGCGTGCAGACCTCTCTTGCCGCCCGCTGCTCCCCTCAGCAGTGTGCTTCGGTCCTTCTGCCTGCTCTGCTCCCCGCTCTGGCTCTGGTGAATTCTCTCACCCTCCCACGCTTCTGACTGTACCCAGTGCTTGTATAAATAAAAAAAAAAAAAAAATCTTTTAAATAAATAAATAAATAAATAAATAAATAAATAAATAAAGAGAACCAAGGCAAGTTGAAAGCTAAAGTTGATGGAGCTGGAAAGCAAAACTCTGGCGGTGGTTATCAACACTTTCCCCCCAGTCTTACTGAGAAGTAATTGACATCAATATTTTTAAGTGTTCCAATTTATAGTTAAGCACAAAATTGGCTGGGAAAAGGATTTTAAGAAACACCTGCAATTAAAATAGCAGGATCAGATTTAGGAATAAGCTAGGATTTTGCAATCAGGGGACAAAAATACATATTTTTAGAACTTCCTACACTAAAAGTTCACCTATCATGACCCCCAATGAGCTAGGAAGGCACTAGAAAGCGTATTTAAATTGTGTAGTTTTAGCTTCACTATTTTTACATCACCACTTAAGAGCATACTAACTAGTGCTGTCCAGTATTCTGGGTCTGCTTAGTGACAAGCAAAAGTTAATTCTGTGACTTTTTATTTATTTATTTATTTATTTATTTATTTATTTATTTATTTATTTCCCCCCCTCCTTTTTTTTAAGATTTATTTATTTATTTATACAAGCACTGGGTACAGTCAGAAGCACAGGAGGGTGAGAGAATTCTCCAGAGCCAGAGTGGGGAACAGAACAGGCAGACCAATGA